TTCTCTCTTCGAAAGTGAACTGAAAAAGGACTGTTTGTGTTGGGAACTGACTGAAGTAATTTTTGTATGTTTGTTTTCTTGTTATGAAGGTTGGGAGAGAGAAGGAAGGAGTGGTCTGAAAATCTTATTCTGAATGTTTTTTTCCCCTCTTTGTGTAATTAACAATTTTCTTTTTATACCCTCTTAAGTTTTAGGCCTGCTTTGCTTCTGCTCCTGATTCTGCCTCACAACAGAAAATGAGCATGTTTAAATTGGCAAATCAAAACCATGACAGTCTCTCATCCTTGCTTCCTCTGTTTTCCAGGCCTTCAATTGCAGTCTTGTTATCCTGGATCAGTTAGTCTTAGTTTCTAAGCCCCAGGGGTTTTGTTTCTTATTTATTCCCAATACTCTGTGCCAAAAAATTTAAGCTTTTCGTAATTTTGGTTGGTTTTGTTTCCTTTTTTTGTTTTTTTCCCTCAAGAGCCCATGGGCCCGTTTTTATATTTACAGCTAATATTTACAGCTCTTGCTGCTGATTTTTAGACTGCAGCCCCTTATCTTGATTTTTGCCTCTTTTTGGTTCTTATAGCTCTTTACATTGTACCTTTTATTATTATCGTGTTTGATCTCATCTTACTCCCTCTCTCTGATATTATATTCTCCCATCATCTTCCAGTTCCATTTTTGTTTTATAAATTCTGGGTTTGTTTCATTTCCCTCTCCCCTAATTCTCTTTGGACTGTGTCCATTTCTTTGGCCCTAAATGTTCATCACTCAAATTCAGTATTCAAATCATCCAGGTTCATGCTTCGTCACAGGAAGAAACTGTTGAGCTTGAAGGGCACATAAAAACAGATGTACTGAGTCATATTAAAGCTGTCTCCAGACAAACATTTTGTTTTCAAAAGTGCAGAGGGCAGTGTATAAGGCAGAATATAAGAACAAAGCAATTAAGTAGCTACACTCTCTGAAAATACCTACTAAGGTCTGTGGACCATTGACTTCCTGATTCACAGGCAGTAAGTTTGTATTTAACAGAATTTGATGTCTTTCATCTGTAAATTTCTCCTATCATTTTGTCTAGTTACTTTTTCTGTGAAAATATTTAGCATTCACAATATAGAAAGACAATACATTTTACAGCTCAAACTCCAATTTTCATTAAGCAGAAATGCTTTTTCTTTGTTTTAAACTTGCTCTTTGATACATTTTATAGGATACTTTTATGGCCTTCATTCTCATCTTGGCTCTGGTGTGCAGCATCAGCATATATCATAGAATCATAGAATTGTAGAATATGCTGAATTTAAAGACATCAATCAGGATCATTGACTCAAACTCCTGGCCCTGTGCAGGGTACCCCAAGAATCACACCACGTGCCTAAGAGTGTTGTCCAAATGTTTTTTGATCTGTCAGGCTTGGTGCTGTGACTAACTCCCCTGGGGAACCTGTTCTGGGTAAAAAATTTTCTCCTGATGTACAACTTAAACTTCCTTGACTCTGCTTCAGGCTGTTCCCTTGAGTCCTGTCATTGGTGAAAACAGTGAACAGAATCAGTGCCTGCCCTTCTGCTTCCCCTCGGGAGCGTGTTGAAGAACACAACGAGGTTTCCCCTCAGTCTCCTCTTGTCTTTATATCACAGAATTCCAGAGGAAATGTTGTCGAGTCTCAGGCTAACTGTTCTTGTGGATATGTCACTCGCTATCTCCCTCCTTAAATTGATTATTTTTCCACAGGACTCTGTGAATTCTTCTTTGCTAATCTACCCTGCATGGTTTCCACCACTGGAAGCACATTTTTTACGGGAGCTCTTAAAATTTGGCAAGATTTTATTGATCACTTTGGCTTTTCTCAGAAAATTTCAACTCTTAAATAACCTTGTATTTAGTCTATTGAAACAATAAGACGTTAGGACACCTTAACACAGGAAAAACAGTATCTATTTTGGGGGTCTTATTTTGTAAGTAACATCCATTTGGCTGTAATGCTAATGATACAAGCAATAAGCATAATGTAGGCACTTAGATAATCCAAACTAACTTTAGTCATCACAACGTAACTGTCTTACTCAGGTTGGTCTAACAGGTTTAAACTGGATGCTGATCTGCCCAACAATGCCTCCCATGACTTTTAAGGCTGACATGCAGATACCCCTTGAATTGCTTATCCCTCTCCACTGACTGGAGGAAGCTTGAATATATACTGTCTTATACTTGTTATCTCCTAATATGAAAATAAATGAAGGTAGAAAAATTGAATCTAACCTGTCTGAAAAAGAGCAAGTCTGGCCAAATCTGACCAAGCAACTAAAACACAGGAGAGGGACTATTCCTGAACCAGTTCCATGCATCATTTGATGTGTCACAGGCTGACAAATTACAATGGACAAACTGCCTGTTACAAATATACCAGAGAATATCTGACTTGGCATAATCAGTAATAATAATCTCAGCATCTGAGATTATGACTATGGTGTCAAATTCTAGGTACCACAGCTTTTAAAGAAATTGGAGAAATTGAGAGAATGAAAAAAATGGGTATTTAGGCAAAAGGACATATCAAAGAAATTTGGCTGACTTAGCCTGGATAAGTAGAGAGGAGAGATAACAGCTTTTCAATATAAACCCTATTTTTTTTTAGTTAAAAAGAAGGCAAATCAGTTTTCCTCTGTATTTTGTGAGGATACTTAAGGATAAGTGAGCTTAATTTAAAAATATTACATATTTAATTTTGATATTGCACTAAACTTTCTAAATACGTAGAAAATTATTATTGGAAGGCATGTATAACTCCCTTCTCTGGGGGATTTTAAGAACAGATCAAGCCTAAAATTTTCAGGCCTGATCTATAAATACCCCTCCTCAGTGTGGTGTGATGGAGTAATCCATCTTTTAATATCTCCTCCAGCCTGATATTTCCATTATTATATAACTGTGTTACTTTCTTTGTAGTTTTCTCTTTTTAGCAAACAACTGGGGTAGAAGATTGAGTTCAAATGCCCATAGGACAGCACAGACAACAACCAAAATTCGGATTTAATAAAATGCAGAATTACCTGAAGAGAATGCCCAGCAGGACTCAAGCTAAATCTAAATGTTTCATTGAACGAAGGCTCTCGGTCATGCCTGCATACCCTGGTTTTCTTCTTAATTACTCTCTTTTGGGTAGAGATATTGACAACATACAGCTTCACATACAGGTCTGGGGAAGAATAATTCAATGAGTTAAATACAGAAGCTTTTAAATAATCATTGTTGTTAAAAATTTCAACAGAGGGGAATTTTTGTGAAAAAATTATATTTTCCAAAGTCATATTCTGTTCTCATTCACATGGTGTAGAAATGGACTTATCCCACTAAACCCAAAGGAATTACTTTGTGTTTATAATACTGGCATTAAAGAAAATAATACCTTGATATCTTTATCTATGTATGAAAATGTAATTATGAACATGAGATTTTTGTTTCTAAAAAGCTTTTTCACAAAAATGCAATCCTCTACTAGTTATAACTGTTCTTTGATAAGCTAGGGATTTATAATTTTTTTGCTAAAATTAAAAATTGATTAATTTTTTAAAATAAAAAGTAAACTAAAAAGAAGATTAGCTTCTGAGTGTTAATTTGCTTCTACAAAACATTTTTCTTTCATTAAAGTTGCTCATAGAAGAAAAGAAGCCCTTCAAAAAGAATCCTGTAGAATATGTCATCCTGGCTAAGAAGCAATTTTCTTTTCCATTTTAGTGATGAAGCTAAATGACTTAAGATACAACCTACTTAATGTTTTCAAAGTATCATGAAGTTGTTTTCTTAGTGATACCTGGAAGATGATCTGGAGATTTAAATTTGTACGTGATATTTCTGCACTGAAGGATTTCTACTATCAGTTGTTCTCCATCTGTCTTCATTTCCTTCTTTAATGCAATCTTGATTTCACCCATTACCTGTGTTTTACCTGGAAAAGCAGAAAAATCAGCCTTCATTAATGTAAAAGGAAACTGAATTTATCTTTCTAAGTTGGAGAGAAGTAAACTTTTATGGTTTGGGGGCTTTGGGGGTTTTCTTTTTGTTGTTGTTTTTGGGGGGTTTTGCCTTTTTTTTTTTGTTTGTTTGTTTAATTTAATTTTGATTTTGTTGTTTTTCTTTTCCTATAGCTTTTAATAGCTATACTTTTAGCTCATATTTGTAAGTCAGGAAGGTAAGGATAATGTATAGCTTGGATAAGCAAATGGTAGGTACATGCTGTACACTTGTATAACTAGATCATATGCTTCAGAATGTACTTGCCTCAGTAGAGCTTTTTTCTCAAGAACAGAAATTTCTCTAGGAACCATTACAAGTCATGTAACGGTCACTGCAAATCACCTTTGCAGAAACATTTACTACAAGGCTCTGAAGTTATTTTGTTTAAAAAAGAAAAAAAAAAGTAAGAAAAGAAGAAAGAGAACTTTCAATAGAGTGTTAAAAGCAAGATATTCAAAGGCAATGAAGTAAGACTGGTGAAGTCAGCATTTCATTTCACCTTCCTACATACATGGAGCAATATCATTCACACAGTTTAAAGGGAAGTGCTTAGACTGACCTTTAAAAGTAAAGGTAATTTCTCTGCTTATGTGGGTAGAAATACAGGTTCATTATTTCTACATTTTATGGATTGCTCTCTAAATCGGTTCAGAGATGGACAGAAGGCACAGAAGGAAATGCAGACAAAGCTATTTCGCCTTTTCTCTTCCTGTCCTCCCACAAGCCAGGCAGAGTGGAGCAGGCCTGTATCTTCTAAATGCATAGGGAGGTGGGAGCAGAGCATCCTTAGCACAATTCTCTCTTTACTAACATCATGTCATAGTGGGGGTTGTGCTTCTATATCTATTGTCCTGCTAAAGAAAATATTATTTCACCTTTATCTTATCTTCAGACATTAGTTCAAAAGAAATGAAACCACAAAGCCACTGGGATTCTGTATTAGGTAGTTTCTGGTGCCAGCAGGATTTAACACTTTACTGGAAATTCTAGAAGCTTGTGCCAAGATGTTGTAAGGTGCAAAGCAATTCTGCAGTAAGTAAACAATTATGATACATCTGGAGAAGGTTCTAAATTAAAGAGTGTTAAGTTGCCAAGTAGCATGTAAAGATTACTTCTTGTATCACAAATGTATAATCAAATTTTACTAACACCCTCTAAAAGTGACGGCTTCTGTTTCACAGATGTCAATTCTATTTTTTCTACTTAAAATAGTTTGAGAGATCATGAGAAAGAGTGTAATAACAAAGTTCTAATTTACATTAGAACTCTATTTGCATTAGTTCTTAGAACCTCATCTTGATTGCCTTAGTGCCTTCTTTTTCATTTAGGTGTGCATTAAACTTAAGATGAAATGAGGTGTTTGCCTGCCACTTGTGATGCTGTGAGCCAGATAAAAGGATATATGCTTCCAGCAAATCATATTTGAATATTCCAACACTACTTCTCAGCATCTGGAAATTTTCCATGGACTATTCTGTATCACCAGATACTCTTTAGGACAAGCAATCCTGCCTCACTATTTAAGCATTGTGGGGAAAAAAATGATTTACAGCTGCAAACACACGAAGGATAGAGCTTTCTTGTGCTTCCATACTAATTTTCATTTCTCCCACAGCATGAGTGAAGGAGCCTTAACACCAGCCATATGAAACATTGCACTAAAATAAATCACCACTTCCAAACCCACCAGGGTTTTGTAGACTCAGAAGGGATTCCTATTCCTTCTATTGCTTAGCTTTTCCCCCTTTCTCATATAGGTTCATTACATCTTTCCTTTGATGGGTGTGCAAAAATAGAGCAGATGTGCCCTGTTTTGTAAACTTCATTCTTTAAATGAAAGTGATAGGTATAGTGATGAAGGGAATGGTTAACAGTGAACCATCTAAGAGCTGGTGAGAGTTCATAGCAGGCTGAGCTGGACATGAATGTGTCACGTGTTTGGTGTGACAGAAATAAACTTCCTCAGGGTGTCATGGGACTGGATAACCCCAAGAGTTGCATTGGTAGGAATAAATCAAAATATACAGCACCCAATCACAACATTTTGCCTTCTTATGCAAGTTCAGGAAAAAAATCAATCATATGTGATGTGAGAATGGAACTGATTGCAGGTACTTTGGTACATTGGATTAGGATAAAATACTACAATACAACTCTGAAAAAGAGATGTTGCATACCTTTTTAGGGAAGTACTAATATGGTTTCCCAAGGAAGCGAAAATCAATTTTTAACTTGAGTAGTAAGATTTTCCTCAATAAAAATTATTTTCAGATGAAAGAAGTGCAAAACAGGATTATCACAGTGGCAAGGAACCATATAGTAAAGCACTAAAAAAATTACTGTCTAATTTAGTTTAGGAAACAGGGAGTGAAAAAGAGATATTCTACAACCATATGCTAGAGTAAAAATTGAAAAGGATAAGAGAAATTTAAACTGAATTAGTGTGATATTTTACCTGTTTCATATGTATCAAATGCACGGTTACTTAGGACCACAGTCACGCACAGCATCTTTGTGTTCCCTTTTGCAATGTGCCAACTGTAGGCAACCAATTCTTAATATCTAATATCTATACATAGGATTAAAAAAATCCATGTTGTGTTTTTTTTTAATGTCTGCACACCTCTTTTAGGGGACCATATTTATTATTAATTCATTAACAATTAAAAGGAGGTGATTATTATCTAAATTGCTGCAAGGCATTTGAGATGTCAAGTGTAAGGGTGAATGCCGGGCTTTCCAGGCTTTTGCACTGCTAATTAGTGGTTTGTCTCAGTCTCGTCTGTTTCTGTTCAGAGCCAGGATTATTAGAAAGGCAATCAAGCTGGATTCTCGTGTTCAGACTTGGTTGTTTATTATATCTTATCAAAATTTGCAAGAAAAGAAAGAAAGCATAGCAGCACTTCTAGCTCCTTACTAGAAGTAGCAAAAATGGCTCCAAGTTGAGCCTGTTTCAAGGCCTTTTAAAGCTAAACACACCAATAAAAGTTTTACATCTATATTATTTATACTTTTAAACCAATAATAGATTCCCATGACCCTTAGAGTGACTTTAGACTGATCAATCCAAAGATAACTACCTAAGTTCCATGAAGAAGCAGGAAGAGAAGAAGATGAACAAGAAGAAAACACCACCCAAAATTCTCCATCTTGTCCCATAGCTACATAAAAACCTCAAATTTAAAACCCATCACCCAGTGAAAACACACATATCTAACCCACTACACATTTATGATTTCTAACTTATTTTTTATATTTAAAAGTCTTCTCCAAGGTTTTAGATGCAGTGCAGTGTTTTCCAGGGGGTCTGTGCCTGAAAGCACAGAGAGCTCAAAAACTCCAGTTTCCTGAGATCTAACAGTCAAGGAGTTTACGTTTTCTGTGGTGATGGCAACACCAAACCTGTTGTTCTAGTAGAACTGTCACACTCTGCATTGTGAAAGGTTAATTAGTTTTGCTATTAGTTTTAATTGACTGCTGTTGTAAATCACAGGATGTGTCATCTGCACTGTTGTTGTCCATTCCAGAGATTGATAACTCTGGATTGTGCTCCCATTCCTTTTTAATCAAATGCCTGCTGTCAAACTGAATTACCCAAGACAGAAGTAAGTAGTTGCCTTCCATCATTCTGTGTTATCAAGGCTAATTCAGCAATGCATTAAGCAAGCAAGTAAATCTCATTGCAGAATGGCATGAATTTTATTCAGTTCAATTGTGTAAAGTTCTGAGATAATTTGCACTTTTATCTTAGAATAAGTTGAATTGCTTTCTGACATTAACTATGTATTTTCTCATAGATGGATAATGTATGAGTAGGTTAAACTTGGAAATTTAAATATAAGATGCCTAAATGCTGCTACTTGATAAACATCATACTTGAGTAATTTCCTGAATGGATGCCAGATGGCCAGAAAACAGAATCAGGAAAATACATCAACTGACATTTTGTTTCATAATTGTGTATAAATTGGTTTGGGCTCTCCTATTCCAGAAGAGTGACTGGGAGGTCCTGGAGAAGTGAAATTAAATATAAAATACAAGGAGGAAAATATTATCAAGCAAATCAAATAACCCTATGTAGCTGTATTTCTTAAATAAACAAAATCTTGTATTCAGTTATGTTAGGATATGTTTGTAATATTCAGATAGTTAGAACATATAGTAGCATGTCATGAAATCTAAGTAATCCAAGATTCCAATAAAGTCTCGATAACTTCAATTTAAAAAGGACAAAATAACAGCTTTAAAATATGGGACATGATTAAAGACAACACAGAAACACGGGTTCACAAGACCCATGTTCCTTAGTAGGGTTCTGTGATCTTAGCTCTAACTCTCAGATATCTAACTCTCAGAGATGGAGTTAATAACACCTCTTAGAGTTGTTTGGGTTCAGTGACTGGGATTGGGTTTTCTGTGAAGAGAGAGACTTTGATCGTGTAAATATAAACAGTACTTTGGAGTGTGGTCCCAGGAGAAAACATAAAGTCTTAGGAAGGCTGATGAGGACCTTGCCACTGTCAAGAATGTCTCCACAGTAACCCATGAAGCTTGCACAGACATAATTTTCTGTCTAACACAGTGCCGTTATACCAAGAAATATGTTTCTGCTGGATTCCTTTGACGCTATTTTAAGAACCAGAAGTTTGTCCTCCAGCAGATAGCTGTGCTTCAGAAAAACAAGATAACATGATCTTATCACAAGAAATAATTCAGTATTACTGCAAATAGTAGGCTATATATATGTACAAATATATATACTATGTATTAGAGCTAAACAAATACAGCTGAAGGTAAAGGAAAAGTGTTCAGTATAATTTTAAACGTACATATATCAAGAAGTTAAAATACCAGCCAAAACCTTCCACTTTTTTTAAAGCAAATCTTTCTCTTTTATTTTTTTTTTAACCATCACACAAGTTTCTTGCAGTA